GGCTTTTTGAGACAAGGTCTCATGGCATTGCTCAGGCCCGTCTTAGATTGGCGATTCCCCTGCCTCAGCCTCCTAAATTGCTAGGATTATAGGTATGAGTCACCAAACTCAGTATCAGCAGTGCCTGCTTTCAAAGCAGGCAGGTGACCCAATGTACACACGAGCTCTCACACCCCTGTGGCAGCTCTCAGGGGTAACGAGGCCAGCAAACCAGTCGAAGACTCTAAGTCACCTACATCTGATCTTGGGGACAAGGAAGAGCAGGCACACCTAACTCTTGGAGACTCGCCATGAGGGGAAGAAAGGAGAAAGGACAAAATAGAGTAAATCAATACTAGCAACATTTTGACCACCAAATTTTATTTAACCTCAACATTTTACTTGTGTTATCCTCCATGCTCACAAAAACATTACAAGATGGTCCCACTATACTCACAGATTAAAAAAAAAAAAATAGGGCTCAGAGAAGTTCAGTAACTTGCCTGAGATCACACAGCAAATTACTGACATGACTAGAATCAGGCTCTGAGCCACTGATGGGCCCAGAGGTCCCACTTATTCCCAGTAGTCAAAGACTACATACTTCTGCCCAACTGGAAAGGGGGTCACAGAGGTGCTGATGAGAAACTTGCAGGCAAGGAGACTGTGATGCCACAGAGGGATGGGGGTTAATTACAGGATTTCCTTTCCTTTCAAGCTAGACAGAGGAGACAGTAAGCCCTTCTGGTAAGGAGGGGAGCCCAAGTATTTGCTGAATCTTCCCCTTCCACCCCAGCTATGCAAGGTAGCAGGGCATGGCTGGAGGATGGGAAAGGGCTAAGGAGTGAAGCTAGGAAGGGACAAAGAGCTGCCTGGGCCCCTGCAGCTGGCCCAGAACTGCAGGTCCTTACATTTGGCCCCTACCTGACCTGGAATGGACCTAGAATCTTTCTCTGGAAGAAGTTGTTACTCCCGTGCTTACTGAGAGCTGTCATTTCCAAACAGAGGAGCAGCCACCTAGCTCACAGGTAGTGCTCTGACCTAGTCTAGGTGAGGCCTCAGGTTCAAGCCCTGGATCCTCGGGCCTGGTATAAAACACAGGACCCATCAGGAGTGAGAACAGAATTTCTAAAAATTATATCTAGGAGCTGGCCACAGCATTGCATGTCTGTAATAACAGCACACTGAAGCTGAAGCAGGAGGATTGAAAGTTCCAGCCTAGCCCAGGCAATTTAGCTAATAATAATAATAATAAATAATAATAATAATAATAATAATAATAATAAATAATAATAATAATAATAATGTATCTGAAAATTAAAGGAACCCAGAGGCTTGCCACAGGCAGAGGAGCCCTCTGTACCATTTTGCTACTAAACATACTCTAAAATTAAAAATTGACTTAATAAATACAACATGACTAAAGGCTATGGAGTCTGCAGGTGACTGAAAGAAAAAGCAAAACAGGAAAATCTGCTGCACATGCATACACTGGGCACGTGATCAAATAAAAGCAGGAGGCAAAGCCAGGCATTTGCTTTAATCCTCACTGGAGAGTGGTCAGATCAGGACCAGGGAGATGCCAGGGTGGGGACAGAAGGAGGCGAGCTGGTGACCGCAGTTTCCAAGGCCTCTGCTGAGAGCCAATGCGGCGGCCAGTCTACTTGGAGGATCCTTCTCTGTCCCCGGCTCCCCTTCTCCCCTGGTCCCTCCCAACTACCGGTGCAGGGAAGGGTCAGACTCATGCAAAAGGGGCCACTCACACCTGCGAAGCATGGCTGTCATGGGCCCCCCCACCTTCCAGAGCTGGGAACATGAAGGAAAACTCCCCTCAGTAGTTATGGAGTCCTGCAGAGCCACAGGAGGCTGAATGGTCACAGCAGATTTGCTCCTAACAGCCCTGAACTGAAAAGCCCAGATGGCAACCAGCGGAGGAGAAGACGCATCCACTGTGGCTTACTCACACTCTAGAAGAACACAACACAGCAATAAAAATAGAACGACCACCATGACCCGCAAACCCCAGACAACTCCCAGCCGTCACTCGGAGCGACACAAGCCAGATGCAAGAGCACACATACTGTGTGATTCAATTTGTATGAAGTCGAAGAAGGCAAGATTCATCTGTGATGGCGTGAATGGGAGCAGCAGTTACCTTTGGGGGACATCGACTGGCAGAGGATCAGAAGGGCTGCTTCTGAGGCACAGAATGTTCTAGCACTTGATCTGGTTCACAGCTATGTGCAAATCCATCAGGCTGTACATGTGAGTTTTGCATACTTCATGGTATGTGCGTTATGCCCCAACCAGAAAAATATAAACGCCTACAATTAATTATTATTTGCAGAGCCCTCCATGACTAGCGGCAGGAGAGGGCAATGAATAAATCATACTGCTGTTATTTCTTTCCTGCTCCCATCCACCCCTCACCTCAGTCTCTCGGATATTTTTTTTGGGGGGTGTATTTTTTGATACAGGATCCACTATGCAGTGCAAGGGCTGCCCTTGAACTCTATGTAAGCCAGGCAGGCCTCAAACTCATGGAAATTCTCCCACTTCAGTCTCCCCAGTATGGAGATTACAGGTTTATACCACCACACCATGCCCAAACATGTTCTTTATTCCTCCCTTGTAGTCCTTTCTGGACAGCCCTGATAGAGTCAGCCACTCTTCTAGAAGCTGGGTGAGGGCCCCATCTCTCAGCTTTCCTTTGGACAACTGAGATATATATATAACATCTATTGTGAGTCAGACAGACCCTGAAGCCCCTCTTCTCCCAGCATCAGCTTTTTTGTTTCAGATTGGTCTAAGTGACAAAGACCTTGGTACAGAATAGTTGAGCTCCTTTCCAGCTGTGGCCCCTAGCTCTGAGAAGAGAAAAAGATGCCCACTACATCCCAATGGGATTTAATCCTCTACAAACCAGCTAGAAGGCAGCAGGGACAGAACAGAAATGCCTGTGTCTTATTCCTACATCCCTGCCCTTTCCACAACTCCCATGGCTCCCTGGGGCTGGGTCAGAGTAGCCACTCATGGTATCTGTAGTGGTTGGCTTCCAACATGGCCCCCATTATTCTTGATACCTGGTATACATGCCCTTATGTAGACTTCTTTCAGACCGAACAGGACTGACCTGTGCTCCAGGAGGATATTGTAGGAATATCAGTGTGCGCCTTCCAACACGTTTTCTGCCTTCCCCTCTCAGGAACCACTCACTCTTGAGAAACCAGCAGCCATGTTAGAAGGTTAGTCAAGCAGCCCTAGGAAGAGGTCCATGTGGCCACCCACCAAGAGCCAGCCCCAGGCCAGGTGATGGTGCATGCCTGTAATCCCTGCACTTAGGAAACCAAGGCAGGAGGATTGCTATGAGTTCCAAGCCAACCAACACTACATGGTTCAAGGCCAATCTGAATTACATAGTGAGATCCTGTCTCAAACAAACAAGCAAACAAAAAAATAAAAAAGGCAGCCCAGTTTGCACACACCACACCATGACTCCAGGCATTAGCCAAAACCCCAGGATTATCCCTGAGCCATCCTCTCACCGCCCCCATGATCTCACCCACAGCTATATAACACCACTTGTGTCCCACCGCACAAAGAACTTCCTCCAAGAGGTTCTCCCAAGCTACCCTCGCTTAATCTTTCTCACCCACTGTTCCAGCCAGCTCCTTCCCAGCTACTTTGGGCATTTATTGTCTGTCTCCCCTACTGGAACACAAGCCCCATGAGGACAAGTGTCTTCTATGCCTTGCTCCCTTCAAACAGCGTCCCACATACGGGAAGAGCTTTGCAAAAGACTGCTTAATGAAGGCTGCCTAGAAGCAGGGGTTGGGCAAGATGACCCCTGAGTCGATCTGATTAGAAATACAGAGGGCAGAGGTCCTCCGTGTGCTCTAGGTCCCCACCGCCCTGCCCGGCAGGATGCGAAGGCAAGGCAGCAGCAAGAGCTGTGGTTTCAGAAAAGACTTGCCAGCTGGGTGGAGCACACACTGCCCATGGGCCCATTTCCTATGGAGGATAATCTTAGAAAAAGCCCCATGTGCCCGGCTACTGCCCTGTCAGCCCACCTTCTCCCCTTGGGAGGCCTCATCAGCAGGACCGCTGCAGCCCCAGAACATGTGTGCGTGGCCAGCCAGGCTCCACCCCAAAGTCATCCTTGCCTCCTCTTCACCCACAGGCTGCTGCTGCACGAGGGCCATCTCCTGTCACATTCTCTGGCCTCTCTGGGCCATCTATTTCTTCTACTTATGCCTTTCACTGCCAATATCCCCCATCCTCTCTCTGCTAAGAGAGGGAAAATAAAAGTCACTCACACACACACACAAAAAGGGTTTCTTGGTGCCTCAGTTTCCCCATCTGTAAGACAACATAATCCTTTGGCCTGTGTTTTATGCTCTTGAGCAGAATTGAAAGCATAGGACCTGATAATGGATGTCAAACATTGAGGCCAAAAGCGTTGTGCAAATACTCACTGTTCCCAAGAGACACAGGTATGGGAAGGGAGGCAAGGAGCGTGAGCCTGGGAGGAGCAGGAGATTTGGGGGGTTCTTGATTAAGAGTAGAAACCTCAACTCCAGAGGAACAGAACAAGGAGGGCTGTGGGGGAACAGCAGAAATGCCCCACCAAAAGGGAGTCAAAGGAGCGTCACAAAGTCTCTGACCAATGATGGACCCGGTGAGCCAGGCAGGCAAGACATCTGGACTTGACAGTACACAGATGCCCCAACAGAAAGGGCTCACAGCCTGCGCAAGACCTCCCAGACCTGCTGCACCCTCTGCACCCTCCCCAGTGGGGCCCAGCAGTGCTGGGCACCATGTTTCTGAGCACTGACCATGCAGGGCCTGGCACCACGCTGGGCACTTCACACACACACCATCTCTGAATCCCCAGAGCACCCTGTTGAGGTAGGCTTCTTACTGCCACACCCTCGCGGCTCAGAGAGGTGTGTGAGCTGTCTGAAGTCACACAGTTAAGAGCAGCAGCTGAGTAGGAGCTGTGCCAGAAGTGCCCCGCCCCCACTCGACTGGGCCCCTGGGTCAAGTGAGAACAGCAGAGCAGCTGGGTGGAAGGGCAGGAGGGGAGAGAAAAGGGAAGTGGGCCTACCCAGGGGATAGCCCAGTCTTCTCCCCAGACTCAATCCACTCTGGGTCGCCCCACACCCCCATGGCTCCAGGAAGCTAACCCATCGCTCCTCTGTCCAGGCTTACGAAGGCCCTGGAGACCAGGACCCAGCCCTCACCTACGTTTTCTTGCCTCAGTCTCTCTGTCCCACCTAGATCAGCCTGCAAACACTGAGGGGGAAACTGAGGACCAAGATGGGGTCTGACAGATAAAGATGGAGAGCAGTGGTGCTGAGGCTTCCAAGACCCAGCATGAGGACCCTGACCTCTATGCTCCTCCCTGCCCCTCCCACTCCCAGTATTTCCAGCCTCTAGCCCTCCGGGGGTCTTTGGCGGGAGACTCTGAGCTTCCCAGGCTGGCCAAACTGTGCCAGCCAAGGCTGCGCGCGGCCAGCGGGGTCCTTGAAATACACTGCACTCGCCCCTATACCGATGCCCCTGAGAACCAGAGGAAACACCTCCTAGGAACCTCCCCCAGAGGTTCCCGCCAGCACCTCCAG